GCGCGCGCCCGCGCACGAATACAGATACACATCGTACGGGTCCCATGTGTAGGACTCTTCTGAATTCACAAAGACTGAATTGGCCCCAATCTCCCGGAAGAGTCCCCCAAACATCTCGAGTTCTGGGACTTGCTTTGTCAGCCTGCCTTGAGCTATGAGACTCAGAAGGCCGAAACCCCCAATCCCTAACCCTAAGCCTTGCCCAAAGCCCAAACCCCAAACCCCGAACCCCACACCCTCAAGCCTAAACCCGAAGCCCTAAACCCTAAACCCCCAAACCCTAAACCCGAAGCCCTAAACCCCAAACCCCAAACCCTAACCCTTAAAAAACGTTTCAGCGGGGAGGCAGCAGGCCTTTACCCCAGATCGGCTTCGAGCTTCGCGTTGGGCTCACGGCTGCTGCTGGAGTGCTTGGGTTTAGGGGTTGTGGGGTTTGGGGTTTAGGGTTTGGGGTTTGGTGCTTGGGGTTTAGGGTTTGGGTTTTGGGGTTTGTTCGGAGTCTGGGGTGGAGAAACTTGGGGATTCTCGTCATCAGAGACTGTCTCACCGAACTGTGCCGCTGCGCAGAGAGCCCAAGAACCGTCAAACTGTAAGAGGTCGTGGTGTTGGTTGTGGTGGACTGTAGGACCCTAAGCCCCTAAACCCCAACCCCGAACCCCGAACCGTTAGGGTTTGTGGTTCAGGGGTTTATACGGTTTAATCGAGGATTCGGGCTAAGTTACATCGACCAATTGATACTTGGGGAGAAGGGGGCGGGCATGGGGTGGGAGAGGTGGGGAACGGTGAAGGGGGGGAGAAGGGGGGAAGGGGGGAAGGGGGAAGGGGGCGGGGGGAAGGCGGGGGGGCACACGGTTGGCGGGGGAGCGAACCGTAATGGACAAGTTGAAACAAAGCATCATCAATGAGTCATCAAGATCTATGTGGCAAGGATGAAGGCAAGCAACCAGACGCACGTTTCAAAGTCGCCGGCGACTTATCCAGCTTTATCAACCACTACGCTGGTATGTCCAGCAGACCAAACGCTGGCCTGGAGCGAGTCACCACACATGTCATTCTTGCCAGCGGCAGAGATTGTGGCGAATTGCGGCAGTTTCTCGGATGTGGCCGGGCGACCTGGGCCCAAGGCCGCCACAAGGTTCCAGAAGGGGGAGACCGGGGGGCGGGGATGCTGGTAGGGTTCAGAGTTTAGGTTTCGGGTTCAGGGTTTCAGGGTTCAAGGTTCAGGGTAAACTTACAGCCAAGGCCCTTAAAACCCTGAACCCTAAACCTTAAACCCTGAACCCTATACCCTAAAACGCCTAAACCCTAAACCCTAAACCCCAAGCCCGAACCCTTAACCCCTAACCCCTAAACCCTAAATCCTAATTCCTAAACCCTAAACCCCAGAAAACCTAAACCCTGAGGCGCCTAAGAGCCGAAACCTGTTGAGGCGCGGCCTCGTCGTTTGCAGCGAGGTCTTGTACCGCCTGCCCAGCCCTCAGGGCGGCCGATTGCAAAAGGGTTGGGCTTAGGGTTTAGGCTTCAGGTTTAGGGCTTAGGCTTAGGGCTTGGGGTCTAGAGTTTGGGGTTTAGGGTCTAGTTGGAGTGGTTTTTCAAGAATAGAGCTTAAGGTGTTTGGGTTTACTGACCCGCCTCCGTCTGATCTCTTGGGGCCTCAACCCCAGAGCCCTAAGCGTTTAACCCCTAAACCCTATACCCTAAACCCTAAACCCTGGGGACTTGGGCTTTTACACCCAGCCATAGTAGGAAACATCGGAGCCTTCTGGGGACCCTTAACACCACACCTGAGGGCCAATCGCGGGTTGTGCGTTTAGAGTTGTTCTATGGACCCAGAATCGCAGGTTGTCAGTCTAGAGTTGAAGAACATTTTCAACGATTAGATCCGAGGCTTTAGGGTTGAGTGGTTCTGTGGACCCTAAACCCTAAACCCTAAACCCTAAACCCTAAACCCTAAACCCTAAACCCTAAACCCTAAACCCTAACCCCTACCGGCGCAAAGGACCGGCCCCTACAAAGCCGGGCTCGTGAAGCATTGGCTTGAGTACCACCGGCCCGGATCTGAGGACTCGCCCCTATTAAGCCCAACTTGGAGGTTCAGGGTATAACCCAACTGTAAGTGCGGTTATAACCCACTTAGAAGCCCCTTAAGCACCCGAGCAGGGTTATAATTGGGTAATAAGTACGGATATAATTGGGTTACGAAGTACTATGAACCTCCAAGTAGTAACCCTAAGCTCATATTGGTTCAGGGTTTAGGGTCTCAGCCTTCAGGGTTTAGGGTAATATATGTCTCATTGCTAGCAAGGGTTCAGGGGTTGGGGCTGAGGGTAATCTCAATATTTTGTCTCAGTGCAGGCTGCTTTGTTGCCCCAAACTTGCAAAAAACAAATCCCAATGACTATTGATGCATTGGGGGGGGGAGGGTAGCCAAATTATCCTTATCAACCCAAACCGTGAGCCCTGAACAGTTGCTAGGCCGATCAACAGCAAGTCATCGCTCGGCTCGGGGTTTGGGGTTTCGGGTTTAGGGCACAGGATTCCCCCCCACTTGGGAGCACTGTTCAAGGGACTACAGGAGGACCCTTACAAAGCCCCTTAGGGTTATGTAGGGGGAATAGGGGTAACATATAGGGACCATATAGTGTGTATATATATATATGTATACACATATATATATATATACATATATATATATATACAAACATAGAAAGGGTGTATATAGGGGAAGCAGATGAAGGGTCCCTTCTAGAGGTCCCTCCTTGTCCCTTAAACTGGAGGCTCATCGGCGTGGACCACTTCGTCCTCTACGATCGGGCTGCTTGCTCTGCGAAGTTTGGGGTCTAGGGTTTAGGATTTAGGGTTCAGGGGGTAGAAGCCCTGTGGCGATCCTAAACACCCCAAACACCTCAAAGCGTAAATGCCCTTCTGCAAGCCTGGATAGCACAAAGAGCCCAGACCCCATAAGCCTAAACCTCAAACACCCAACCCTAAATCCTAAACTCCCTTTAAGGTTTAGGGTTTAGGGTTGGGGTTTAGGGTTTAGGGTTTAGGGTGTAGGGTTTAGGGTTTAGGGTTGGGGTTTAGGGTTTAGGGTTTAGGGTTTAGGGTTTGGGGTTTGGGGTTTAGGGTTTAGGGTCTGGGGTCTAGGGTTTAGGGTTTAGGGTTTAGGGTAACAGCCTCCAGGATGGCTCCCTGGAGGAGTCCCGGGTCTTGGAGCCCTACATCCGGGATGGCTTTGCGGCGGCCTGCGCGCTTGGTCGGGCTTTGGGGGGGGGCTTGAGAGGGTTTAGGGTTTAGTGTGTAGGGTTTAGGGTTTAGGGTTTAGGGTTTAGAGTCTAGAGTTTAGGGTTTAGGGTTTAGGGCTACCCTAAGCCCTATACCCTAAATCCCTAAGGGTTCAGGGTTTGGGGCTTAGGGTGCCGCCCCCAGGAGGCATCCGATCATTCACGCGGGTGCGTCGCTTCCAGCCCTCAGCCCTGGAAGCCTGAACCCTGTAGGGTTTAGGGTTTAGGGTTTAGGGTTTAGGGTTTAGGGTTTAGGGTTTAGGGTTTAGGGTTTAGGTGTAAATTGCGTGATAAATGCGATAGAAGATGTAACACATAGTAGATAGGATTTACACAATGCATAATATGACCATAGAATATATTATATACATATATTTATTATATGTATATGTGCATATACAGCAGTATATATATATATATATATAGAGACATATACATGGATACATCATAAGTATATAATCCATAGTGCATATTATACTGTGTATAAGCCCAAGCTCCACGCCCGAAACCCACAAGGCCTCCTCTTCCGGGCAAGCCTGCAAGCCCACAACTTCCTCGCGCCTGCGCGCGTGCATGACAGGTTACATACTTTCCCCGCTTTTCCTGGTGGGCGCTGACCCAGTGGGAGCCCAAGTATGTCGCAGAAGACGATCCAAAGCAAGGAGCTCCAACTTCTTAGGCGGCTGTGCTTTCAGGGCCCAGCCCTACCAGCGGTCTGTGACCAATTCGGGCATTTCCGCCGGGGCGTCGATCGAACAACGTTTTGGCTTAAGAGGGCTCAGGCTTCAGGGCCGAACCTTGCAACCCCCCAAGTGGTTTCGGGTTAGGGCTTAGGGCCCCAAGTTGCGTTTTTTTTGTATCGGTTTATAGGTTTCAGTGTAGGGGTGCTAGGGAGTGGGCCCCTTGTTCCCGTTCCTTAAGGGTTAGGCTCCCATATGCAGACAACCCTTTAACCTAAACCTAGTACCCAGAGGCTTGGACAATTTAAGTACTTGGTGCTGCTGCGGGTGTTAACCTGGGGCGGCTAGTAGCGCCATAGCTTCCTGCACATGCCGGCGGCCACAGCTTCGAATTCAAGGGTGTGCTCGTTCGGCGAGCATGGTGGAGATGTGGAGTCTGAAGGTGCCAGGGCAGCACCTCCTGGCTCTTCTTTTCCGCCGACCCCCAACGCAAGAATCGCCATTCCACTTCGCAAAGCAGTACTGCGGCAGGCTGAAGACTTCCGGTTGGAAGACCGAGGGTTCGGGGCCAGAAGGCTGGACCGAAAGAATGAGACTTGCTCGGTCATGTTTGAGCGAGGATCTGGCTGCGTTTCCTTCTCTGATTGTGGAACTCCAAGGGGTGGCCGCGTTTGGCTTGGGCCCAAACAAAGAGTGCTACGAGCTCGCAGCCTCCGTAGCGCACGCGATCACCGTGAACGACTCACTTCTGAAGCAGCCTGTTGATATCTCTGCACTACCATGTCTCGAGCCAGATCCGGATAGATACGACTTAACTTCCGAGAAGGAGCCCGCGGGCAACTGGCCGCAATTTGCTTGCGTGTGGCGCAAACCTTCAGGGATGAAAGGCTAGTTCCATGAAGACAAGGACAAAGTGCAGGAAAGGTTCCGCAAATTAATCAATGGTCCATGTGCTGCTGCAGTGCTTGATCATCCCACTGGTCAAATTCTGGAGCGGTTTGGCCGTTTTTCTCGGAAGCATCACACGTGGAATGACATGAAGACCTGGTGCGAGCAACAAATTCAGAGTGCAGGCGCTGATCCGCGGTCGCGATCGCGATCACGATCACCGCGCGGACCCAAGGGCACGGACAGTAGAGTTCAGTGCCGTGAGGAGGAGATCCCGACCAAAGCCAGCAGCCGACAGTGCTGCGGCCAAGAGAACCCACCTGAACACAGCTTCTGTCCCAGATGCGGCACGAAGTTTGGCAACTCTGACTTGGAGGTTGTTGGCTTTGTTCTCGATGGTGGTGAAGAGGCGTTTGGGCTGGGGCCACTTGGAGGTTCATGGGTACTGATAACCCCAATTATAAGTCTACTTATAACCTACTTAGAGGACTTAGGGAGCTTATCAGTATAGTTATAACTGGGGTTATAAGTACCCTGAACCTCCAAGTAGGGGAGGGTTATCACACGCTTTTGGTCGATGTCTGGGTTTTTGGTCGTAGCATGTATGGTGCATGGCCCTAACGTTGCATGCAGCCCAACCTCTCGATGACTTGTTGTTGGGTTGCGCTGCTGGGTTAGCTTTGTTGTTTTGAAGCCGTTGCTTTGTCATGCTGGAGTTGCGTTTGGCTTGTCATTCTGGAGGAATAAGATGTTAATTGCATGATATCACAAGGACCTCCGTTGCTGAGCCGTCTCAGAAAGCGCAAGCCGGTGCACTAAAGTTCATAGCCGTACTTAGCTGTGTCCTCTTCCACAGAAACCGCCACTCTGCTCGGAGGTCCTTTGTCAGGAAGATGACTGGGAAATGTTGCGGCAACTGGTCAGGGCGAGGTTGCTTGTTGGCCACAGATGGGGCTGAATGCATGCGGGTTGGAGGGTTTAGGGTTTAGGGTTTAGGGTTCAGGGTTTAGGGCTTAGGGTTGGGATGTTCCCCCTTATACCAACAGCCCTCAGTAGGGATTGCTATAGTACCCCCCCCATTAGAATCCCTATGAAGGACTGGTACTAGAAGGGGGGAACATCCAAAGTTTAGGGCAGACGTGTGGATCTTCGACTCCTAGGATGCCCAGTAGTGCCCTTATTCCCTTTTTTGGGGGTTTTGGTTCCCTTATCAACCCCTTTAAGCAAAAAGGGCACCCTTTTTTAAGCCTTGGTTACTGGGCAGCCTAGACTCAAAGGGTCAGGAATTCAACCCGCAAGATTTAGCTGAGTGGCAAGAGGGTACTTGCGAGCAGTTTCCCTAGGTGCGACTCTGAACCCTAACCCTAAACCCTATCCCCTAAACCCTAAACCCTAAACCCTAAACCCTAAACCCTAAACCCTAAACCCTAAACCCTAAACCCTCCTGGAGGCACAGGATGGTTGTAGCAGCAGGGTCTAAGCCCCCGCATAAATCTCAGCCCCACGGCACAGCTCTACAGTAAACTCCACAAAGTTGGAACATGGCTTAAGGATGATTAGAGCTGGGATTCCTTTTGGTATACTTTTTTGGGGTATGGGAGAAGGATGTTCCAATTGTTTGGAGTTTACTGTAAGCTGGTTCAGGACTCCCGTCAAAGAGGAAGACGGCTCTCAGGAGACTCTGGCACCACCAATCTGGGGCCAAGTGGAAGAGGTTCCTATACCACAGGTATTGTGCCTGCAGAGCCGCATCAGCGCGACGCTCCGAAACGGGATGCGGTTGGATGACTTGATCCAGCGCCTGCAGCAAGGAGAAGTTCATCCTAACAGGGAGCCGTGGCTTGTACTGAAGATGTCCAAGGCGACTTGGCGTGATAGGCATGGAAGGCAGATTACCCAGTACTACACGTTCGACCACCGACGCCTTTACTGCATCTGGAAGGCAGGCTACAGAAGGGTCCGAGCTGAAATCGTCTTGGCGGGTGCAGCGTTCAACGAGTTCGCGCGCAAGGCAGATCGTTTGGGCACTGCACTCGAGCCTCTGATGTTGTTTGGAGTACACCTGTGTTCATTGTACTTCGTTTTCCTGTATATGTGCATGTATACATATGTACGGTACATATGTGGGGATGTTCATCTATAAGTGCAAAGTGCATACCCGGGTGGACATAAAAGAGGTTAACTTCAGGGCAGAGTCGTGCAATCAAACTTTGGACCGCTGATCGCATATACCTCTCAGAGCAGCCAAGGAGTCGTTGCACACGGGCAGGCGCTAGCCGTCTTTGGAATGGGGAAGGGTACCCGGCACCCTCATCCCAAGAACGAGCCTGACGCCCGGAACAAAAAATCTGCATGTGAGGCTCCTCCTGAAATTTGTGGCGGTGGTAGTACAGTAGCTCCAGGAGCAGCAGAAGTGGCAGCCGTTCTCGTAGTAGTAGGAGCAGCAGCAGCAGCAGCAATACAGTCGAAGGTGCGGGCTAACCCTAAACCCTAAACCCCTAAAACCCTAAACCCTACACCCCTAAACCCTAAACCCTGAAGGGGAGCCTTGACGTCGCGGGAAGGGCCTCGTTCACTACTTGCCTTCCGGAGTTGCAAGAAACCCTAAACCCTAAACCCTAAACCCTATACCCTATACCCTATACCCTATACCCTATAAACCTCAAACCACTTCCTTGGGTCGGGGGCTTTGAATTCGGGGGAGGGTCGTTAATTCTTAAGGCAAGCACAAAGCACAAATGATGAAATCAGCCGGTAGGCCGCGCGGCATCCGGTTTACGGCAGTTTAAGGTTTGGGGTTTGGTTTAGGGTTTTGAGGCTCATCGCGAAGCTTTGGGGTTTGGGGCTTCGGACGTAGAGTCATGAATGAATGAATGATCATTGAATGAATGAATGAATGAGTGAATGAATGGAATGAATGAATGGATGAGATGGATGAATGAATGAATGAATGAATGAAGAGCAGATGTGCGCGTCGTCTTTGGTATGGCTAGACAGAAACCCTGATCCTTATTTTCTAGGCCCCAGAGTAGGCACTTAGTCCCTTCTTTTCGGGTCCAGCTTCCCTCAGAAGCCCCTGTTTATTCCAGGGTTTAGGGTTTAGGGTTTAGGGGTTTAGGGTTTAGGGTAGGTTACTCTCGGGTCTAGAGTCTGTGCAGTTTCTGTTGGGCAATGTGGGCTTGGCCTTTGGTAAGTTAGATAATCTGTTCGAGGTTGGTTTGTCCATCCAGAACCTGAGCCCCAAACCTTAGACCCGCTACCCCCAAGCCCTAACAAACAAACAAAAAAACGAATAAACAAAGGCTCCATACAGTAGTAGTCTAAGCGAATTATGCATTCGCTACGGTTCCATGATTGACCCTTGCAAGCCACTATTGCTGTATATGTGGTCCTAGCCCTAAACCCTAAACCCTAAACCCTGAACCCGAAAATTTAAATTCCAAACCTAAGCCCTAAACCCTAAAACCTAAAACGCCACACCCTAGAAATATGTCAAGGCACCACGATGCGGTGCATGCCGGTCCAGGGCTGCCCTCACACGCCCAAGCCTTGGAACAAGGGTTCAGGGTTTAGGGTTTAGGGTTTAGGGCTGAGGGTTTAGGGTTTAGGGTTTAGGGCTGAGGGTTTAGGGCTTAGGGTTTAGGGTTTAGGGTTCAGGGTTTAGGGTTTGGGGTTTAGGGTGTAGGGTTGAGGGTACTGTACCCTAAGCCCTAAGCCATAAACCTTCGCTTGCGTTTAGGGGGCGATGTTGGTCTAACTGAAGGCTCCCCTAAGCCGAACACCCCACCCCAGATCCCAAGCTCGAGTAACTCTCACATCTCCCCCTACATCCCCCTTGGGAATTATTGTTTATTTTTATTGATATAAAACGCAAGAGGATATTCAACATTATCATTTTTATTAAGGCTCTAAGGGGAGTATAGCCCCAGCCCATAAGATGACGACCTCAGCCCCTGAGGCACCTATGCATTTCAAGCCTTAAAGCACCAAATCCTTGAAACCTGCAAACCCCCCAATGAAGGCCTAAGGGTACCTTAGATAAACTCGGAGCCCTACGCCCTTTTCGTTTCAGAAGCCCTGCCAAGTACCGAGCCGAAACTGTTCTTCGTGGGTTTTAGTTTAGGGTTTCCGGTTTAGGGTCAGGGTCTTAGGACCCAGGTCGGGCTGAGGGTTCCTTGTTTCAGGGTTTAAACGCCCAACTCTACTAAACGCTGAGCCCTTGAAAGCCGGAACCCCCAAAAGCAACAAGTACCCCAAAAACCCCAACATTCTTAACTCAAAACCCTAAACCCGAACCCCGAATTCCTAAAATTGTGTTGGGCTTATAAACCCTTGAACCCTCGAGAGACCCTGAACCCCTGGTGAGTGCTTGCTGCGCCCCTGTGGCGGTGTGCGCGAATCTCAAGTGTGGAGGGTGCGGCGTTGGCTTTGGCACCTGGTGGCGTGCTTTTGGAGGCAACCCTAAACCCCAAGCCCTTCCCCCGCCCCCACCCTGCTGCTACACTGGAACCCGTACATAGCCCAACCTTAAACCCTAAACCCTGACATCGTAACTGTCGAGCCCGAGAATCCTAGAGCCCGAGAACCCTAAACCTCACCACCTTCTCAGAAGTAGCCTCAGACCCTGCAGACCCCTGCCCCAGGAATTTCAGAGCCGGTGCGCATGGGCTTCCACAGCCTAAGCCCTAGACCCTGATCCCGAGATTCTGGGCATTCACAACTTGTTCTTTTTGGTCGGGTTTCGGTGGGTTTAGGGTTTAGGGTTTAGGGTTTAGGGTTTAGGGTTTAGGGTTTAGGGTTTAGGGTTTAGGGTTTAGGGTTTAGGGTTTGTTGTGTGGGAGAGCCATGAGCCTCGCCCTCCACGTCTCGGTGCTCAGCGGCAACACGGCGGTGATTGCCGTGCAGCCCGACGCGGAGATCGAGGACCAGCGGTTTGGGGCTTATGGTTTAGCGTTTAGGGTTTAGGCTTGGGGGTTTAGGGTTTAGGATTCAGGGTTTAGGGTTTAGGGCTAGGGTTTAGAGTAGACCCGAAACAAAAGGAAAGCTTGAAACCGACACTCCTGCCGCAAGAAGCCTTGCACGGCTTCAGGTCTCAGATCTTGCAGGGGCAGATAAAAGTGTGCATTGGTTGCAGCCCTATTGGGGCACCTGTTCGGGATAGTTTTACAAACTCCGTGGTTGTTTTTCCACTTGATTACAGATAATTGCTATGGTGGAAAGGTAGACCTAGAGAAGTTCCGTTTTGGTGGAACCGGGGGCCTCTTGTAGATTTTCCCCTTCCTTCGCCGTGAATGTGGTTGCCTTTGTTCTCGCTGGTTGGCAATGGGTAGAACGTGCAAACTTTGCAGATCTTGTCTTACTATCAAAATGTCAGCAGAGGCAGCTTGCCGCGGGCGGTTCCCTATGCCCTCTCTTGCCCATGCCGGCTTTGTTTCCTGCGGACCCTGTGCTCCCGCTACCACATCCCGCGCTGAGCCTTCGCATGGGGTGGAGGTAGTCCGCGCCTCCTTTCTGAATCGCCTGGCCCCTCCCCCTCTCTGCCTATGCTTGCTCTCATTTGGCCGTTCGAGTTCGAGTGTGGGGTCTTTCTGTGGGTCCGTGTGACTCACTTGGGGAGGATATCCTCCGCCTGAACCCCTCGTGGAGGGCGATGATGTGGGCGAGCCTTCCTGTCTGGGGCCGTGTTGTAAGGCAGTGGGTGCTCGGGCGTGCCGTGCCCTTAAATACATTTTGTTATTCTTTATGTTTATATTTATTTCGCTAAACTTAAACTTATTCATATAATTTATTCAAAGAAAAATATGAATACTTATTGTACAGTACGAAAAAGGCAATTCGCCTTGGAACCAGGAACCTGTCTGAATCAAGGTCAACCCCTGAACCCGACTCCCTACAATCCCGACGACCCCCTAAACCTGGTAGACCTCAGTTCCCAACGAAACGTCGCTCGGTTTCTGTAGCCCCTACAGTCCTAAAACCCAAAAACCCCAAAACCCAAGAACCCCTAAAACCCTAAACCCTAAACCCTGAACCCTAAACCCTAAACCCTAAAAGGGGCTCAAGGTGTTGAGGCTCAGGGTCTTTGTAACTGTCGATCTCCCGAAGGCACGCTGATGTTACCACGTAGCAACATCTTCAGCCCTTTAAGACCCTAAACCCTAAACTCTAAACTCTAAACCCTAAACCCCTTGATAGACCCTAAGCCCTAAATCCTTGCTAGCCCAGTGGTACCCTTTTTTCCCTTCTTGTTGTGGTCACGGTTCACTTGTGCAGTAACCAACCCCAAAAAGGGGAGGCCCCTATCCCTTATTGTAGTAAGACTACTGGGCTACCAAGGGCCTTAAAGCCAAAATGAGCTGGAAAGGGGTTTGTGGCACATATACTTTATTGGGGATTATAGTAGTATAGGGTATACGACCCCAATTTTGGGGTTCATCTGGTCCCCAAGAACCCTTAAGAACCTGAACCCCCGAGGAGCTGCGGCAGCGGGCGCAGGAGGCTTTGGGGCTTGGGCTGAACAAGCTGCTAGGCAGTGAGGGAGGAAGGGTTTGTCAAAAAAGCGTAGCTATGTACTCGCTTTTTCAACTGTCAGTTCTACGCAGCAGCCTTGTTGTCAAGCCACACGTGACTGTGCAATGTTAGAGGGTAGTGGGTTTGTTGCATGATGGGGTTTGAGAGTGTTGGGGTACATTAGAGGGGTTATTCGCTTTCTTGGTGGGTAAGTGCTTGGCCGGGGTTTCAGGTGGCGTTGGGGATAGTTTTAAGGGTTTTGGAGCTGCTGGGCAGGGGAGATTGCTGGAGGGCTTGCCGTTTGCCACAAATGCAATTGTAATCGCTGAGGTCCTCAGGTTTAGGGTTTAGGGTTTAGGTTTTAGGGTTTGGGTTTAGGGGTTTGTTGAGGGTTGAGGGGTTAACGGCCTGAGGGGATCTATTTGCTTTCGACTCAGCTTTTGACAGGTTTTTACCCCCGCCACCCCTCCCAAGCAATCCGAGCACTTCTGGCACGGCCTAGGCCCTGAGTTTAGGGTTTAGGGTTTAGGGTTTAGGGTTTAGGGTTTAGGGTTTAAACCCTGGACTCCTCAACCCTGAGGCTCTAAGGCGCTAAGGCCTCTTACTTTCGAGTTTTTCGGCCTTCTGACATAAGGTTTCTGGGCTATTTTGAGGCTCTAAGGCCTCTTGTTTTAGGGCTTCTAGGCCTTCTTCCATAAGGTTTTTTTGTGGCGATTTTGAGCATATTGGTACCCCTAAACCCTAATCACCTACACCTTAAACCCTAAACCCTAAACTAAACCCTAAACCGAAAACCGAAAACCCTAAACCCTAAATTAAACCCTAAACCCTAAACCCTAAACCCTAAACCCTAAACCCTAAACCCTAAACCCTAAACCCTAAACCCTAAACCCTAAACCCTAAGTCTGTTTTGCAGCTGAGGCTCATCCACAGCTCCGGCGCCGTGCTGCGGGGCACGGTGCGCTCTGCCGGCCTCCAGGATGGAGAGGCCGCTGCCGTTCCTTTTCTATGGTCGCTCTGTGGGGGTTTAGGCTTTAGGGTTTAGGGTTTAGGGTTTAGGGTTTAGGGTTGAGGCTAGGACTCCACTTACCTACAGTTTTCGTAGTAACTACCACTGAGTTATAGGAGGTAGAACCCATATAACACAGCAGGTAGAGAGAGTCCCAAGTTTAGGCTGAATTTCGGGTGAGGGTTGGGGGAGGCGACGTTTTTCGGGTTTAGGGCGGCCCCTTGATCCTAGTACCCTACACTTTGACTCCGATGGTCCTGTATGGGGTTTCTGAAAATAGGGGTACCCTCTTTGGGGTCCCTTTTTAAGGGGATCTTGCTATTTGGGGGTTTATATCAGGGGCCGCGTGTTTTCGGAAATCCCCATAAGGAAGTTGATCCACAGGTCCTTCTGGACAATGGTTTTGGGTTCCGATGGGTGTTTTTAAGGGAAATATCGGGTCAGTTTGGGAACAGGCAGTCTGATTAGCTACCATATACACCAACACAAGCCCTATACATCTAAGTCCCCTAAATAATCATCCGCGTAGAGCCCCTAGAGTCCTTATTTCCCCCCCCCCCCTCGTGGTGTCGGATTACAGGAACCCCTCATGTAGGCCCTACGCACCCTTTAAAAAAACCTACCCTAACTCTATACCCTACGCCCTAAACCTCACACCCCAAACCCTGAACCCTAAACCCTAGACCCTAAACCCGAAACCCGAACCCCCCCCCCCCCCCCAAAAAAAAAAAAAAAAAAAACTAATATATACATATATATATATGTATATATATATATATAAAGAAACGCTAGGCCATCGGCGCCCTGGCTCGACCCCCCGAGCTCTTCTCCTCCTGCCGTGCCTTCGCTCTGCTGCAGGCCTAAACCCTAAACCCTAAACCCTAAACCCTAAACCCTAAACCCTAAACCCTAAACCCTAAACCCTAAACTCCCAAAAACGCTCCAAACCCCCTTCTAAACCCCCCCCCCCCGCCCCAGACCTTGAATCACAAGACCCAAGACCCTAAACCTTGAATCACAAGACCCAAAGCCCCGAACCCCCTGCGGCCCCCACCCTAAAACTTGGGGGGGAGTTTACCGTCAAGGGTCACCCCCCCCCATCCCCCCGTTTCCGGGGCTTTGGCGGGTGTGGGGTTTGGGGTTTGGGGTTTGGGGTTTGGGGTTTGGGGGGTTTAGGGTTTGGGGTTTGGGGGGTTTGGGGTTTGGGCTTTGGGCTTTGGGCTTTGGGCTTTGGGCTTTGGGCTTTGGGCTTTGGGCTTTGGGGTTTTGGGTTTGGGGTTTATAAACCCCAAGCCTAATAACTCCAGGCCCAACAAATCCGTAGAGGCACCCCACGCCCCCAAAGCCCCCACTGAAGACCCTAGACCCTAAACCCTAAACCCTAAACCCTAAACCCTAAACCCCAAACCCCAAACCCTAAACCCTAAACCCTAAACCCTAAACCCTACAAGCCAAAAAAAGCCTCATGCTCCCTATCAACATCTACCGAATCCCCCGGGCGCCCAAACAGGGGGATGGCTCTGTGCTGACCTGGGGCTCTCCGGACTTCGGTGGAGACAGCCAGACAGTGACTTGAATCCCAGGGAGGGGAGAGGAAAGGTTTAGGGTTTAGGGTTTAGGGTTTAGGGTTTAGGGTTTGGGGTTTAGGGTTTAGGGTTTAGGGTTTAGGGTTTAGGGTTTGGGGTTGAGGGTTTAGGGTTTAGGGTAAGCACAGGGCCCAGGAAGCCCCAGTACTCTCCAGGGGGGGGCATACCTGAAGCTAATGAATTATCTGGGTCCTCTTTGATTCAAGGAAGCGTGCCTTAAGCAAATTTATAGGGTTTAGGGTTTAGGGTGTAGGGTTAGGGTATTTGGGGTCTCGGTGGATTTGGGGTTGGGCCTCAGCGTCTAGGGCTTATAGGGATTGGGATGAGGGTTCCAAGGATGTTCGGGCAGTTTAGGGGGCGCGGGGCTGAAGGATAAGGTTTAGGGTTTGGGGTATAGGGTTTAGGGTTTAGGGTTTAGGGTTTAGGGTTTAGGGTTTAGGGTTTAGGGTGACTGGGCTTCAAGTGATCCATATGGGTGTTACGGACTGAAGGGATGAGGTGCGGGTCCAAGGCTACAGGGCGTTCTTTTTCCTAAGCCTTGCCATTGGTCAGCAGGGAAGCGAAGGAATGGTAGTAGCTACAAAATGCAACGAATATTCCATACCTTTCCCTAGTAGCCACCCTAAACCCTAATGCCTACAACTCACAACCTGAAGCCCTGCAACCCCGCACCCTAAACCCTGCAAACCCTACAATCCTGAACATCAAGAAGCCCAAGCGATCTAAGGCAAGTTTCTTTTAAAGTCTTTCAGGGCCCACATTGAGGGGCCATGTAACTACCCGACCCGAAAGAAGCAAGGTGCCGGCGGGGGGGGGGGGGGGTAGGTTCCTGGGGAGCTTTAGGGAAGCTTCAGGAACCTTGGGTTTGCGTGACCTTGAACCCTCCTCCCTTAAGAAACCCCAAACCCCAAACCCTAAACCCTAAACCCCAAACCCTAAACCCCAAACCCTAAACCCCAAACTCTCATAAGAAGCGAGGTGCAGGCGCAGCTGCAGATGGTGGACCACATCGGCTCGTCCCTGGGCGCCTTCGCCGCCATCTGCAGGGACGGCTCGGTAGTAGCTTGGCTTGGAGCCTAAACAGCGCCTGAGGCTTGGGGTTTAGGGGTTTAGGGTTTAGGGTTTCGGGTTTAGGGTTTAGGGTTTAGGGGTTTAGGGGTTTAGGGGTTTAGGGTTTCGGGTTTAGGGTTTCGGGTTTAGGGTTTAGGGTTTAGGGTTTGTTCTTTGAAGGTAGGGGTTCGGGGTTTGGGAGTGAACCCTGAAATTGGGAGCATCGGAACCCTGTTATTCAAAACTATTTCAGTTCTTGGCTCCCTGGCCCCTCCCGTCATCCCCGGCCGGGAACTTCGCTTGCGGGTAACCATTGTCAATAGGGATATGCAGCAGGGTTTATATTGCTGTTTTTGGTGAGTGTATATCTTTTGGGGGTACAAGGAATATCTACCCTACTTCATATGCCTAGTTTTTTTCCGGAACTTCCCTTAATAGCGGGTAGCGATACTGAAACGGGTGCAACATGGCATTTGTCCCTTTGCAACACCGATGAGAAGCCCTTCTCGCCCCAGTAGGACAGCAGAGATTTAGCGTTCGGGCTTTAGGGTTCAATTAGGGTTTAGGGTTTAGAGTTTAGGTTTTTTTAGGGTATGGGGTTTAGGGTTTTAGGGTCTTAGGGTTTAGGGTTTAGGGTTTAATTAGGGTTTGGGGTTCAGGGCCTTGCTGTCGATGCAGACGGCAAGTAGGGTTTGATAAAGTCTAGCGTGATCGTTCGACAGCCGAGCCTATTACCCGACCTGTAGCCAGAGCAACATGCCCCAGAGACCCCAACACCCCTCAATTAAGGAATATTCCTTAAACCATAGAAGGAACCCAACTATGATTTAAGGAATATTCTTTCACTAAGGCCCTACAACCCTAAACCCAAAACCCAGAAGGATTAGGGGGTATTGGAGTTCCTGGGCCAATAAGGAATACTCCTCTGTCCCTAAACCCTAAACCCTAAGGGGTATGGGAGTCCCTCGGTGCCTCACGAAGGTGACTTGGGGCCATACTGCTTGTGGCGGTGACAGCAGCGCCGTCACAAAGTTGCTGTGGCTGGACGGCAGGTTTAAGGTTTAGGGTTTAGGGTTTAGGGTTTAGGGATTAGGGTTTAGGGTTTAGGGTTTGCAGTGGGCAGAACCCACCTTAGGGCATCACCGGATTGCCTCCAACCATTCCATGTTAGTAATGACAATAATCATGATTACCAGAATGGGCATAAGCATCTTCATAGTCACATGATATGATGCGCTTAATCGACATGATAATGCGACAAGGAACCGTAGCAATCATAGTCATAACAGGCATAATGGTCAGAAATCATACTATACCCATAGCTTAGAAGAAAACAGGAATATGCTGTCAGGAACCCTTGAACACAAGAGCCGACAGACATCACCCCTCAACCCAATTTCGGGTTCAGGGTTTCGGGTTACAGGGTTGAGGGTTCGGGGTTTAGGGTTTTCGGCCCTGGCCTGTCCTTGGGCCGGTGATGCACCCTTAAACCCTTAAACCCTTAAACCCTTAAACCCTTAAACCCTTAAACCCTTAAACCCTTAAACCCTTAAACCCTGAAACCCTGAAACCCTGAAACCCTTAAACCCTTAAACCCTTAAACCCTGAAACCCTGAAACCCTGAAACCCTGAAACCCTTAAACCCTTAAACCCTTAAAACACTAAATACCCTTAAACCCTGAAACCCTTAAAAACCCTTAAAAACCCTGAAACCCTTAAACCCTTAAACCCTTAAAAACCCTTAAAAACCCTTAAAGCACTAAAAACCCCAGAAGCCAAAGGGTTGTCCCCGAGGCCTAGGTAGCCTCTTCACAGCCCGAGTTGTTCCAAGCTCCCACGATCTTTGATGGCCAACGTCTTATTCCTCTAGGATTTCGGGTTTAAGGTGCAGTAGGACTTAGGGACTTAGGGTTCAGGGTTTGAGGTGTAGTAGGTTTCATGGTTTTGGGATTTGGCCCCGGTCACCCTACCAACCCCCTCCCTCCCCCCTCAACCTCCTCACCGATCTCCACAGCCAGCCAGCCAGCCAGCCAAGGCGAGACGTGCGCCAGGTGGGCCAAACCAGTCAGTTTAGGGCTTAGGGTTTAGGGGTTAGGGGTTAGGGGTTAGGGTTTAGGGTTTAGGGGTTAGGGGAGAGGGTTTAGGGTTCAGGGTTTGGGGGGTTAAGGGACAAGGGTTTGCTTAGAGTAAGATTGTGTCTTAACACAGGGACAGTCGACTGCCTGTAGGTCACACGGGTCCGTGAGGACGCATGCAAAGACAGAGTCGTTTTATCAGTGACTTGGGCTTCTCTTTTCGACTCGGCTTAGCAGCAGTTGGGCGAGAGCCCCTTGCCTTGCTATCTTCCCTGCGGCGGCTGAGCTTATATCAGCTCATGATTCGGGTTTTCGATCGTTTCCTCGACGACGAGCTGGTGCAGCTCCTCCTGGGCAAGTTCCCAGCTCTTCCGTCGGGCTCCAGAACCGCGCTCTCCGAGGTGCTGGTGCCGCGGCAGTTGGAGCAGCATCTCCGGGAGGTGCTGCGAGACTGTGCCGAGGGCCGTGAGCCGATACTTGGTAGCCCAGTGGTACCCTTTATCAATTTTTGTTGGTTCAAGGTTCCCTTATAAAGTAACCAACCCAAAAATTGGGGTGCCCTCATTATGACAGGTGGTTGATGGGGTACCAAGGATATCCGCTACCTCCCTCAAGGCCCTTGCTCCGTCCTCGCTTGGGACGGGCGCTCTGGTGCCCATGCCCGGCAGGGTGGCGGTGGGAAGCTCGCCGATGCACCAAGACACCGGCTTCGACGCCATGGGGAATCTTAGCAGTTGAATGAGTACACTTTACACTCCTCTTGGGATACTCTAATCCCCTCTAGAACTGAAAGTGCACAATTTCTTTTGGGGGCTTATTTAAACTCAGCAGCTAAGGAATCCCGATCCCACGCACGTCAAAGGTTTTGTGGCGGTGCTGTACCTTGCTGGCTCTGGGACCCTAAAGATCGACAGCGATTCAGAGAGTCGCCGGGTGGAGGTTGGGGGGTTTACGAAAAATCAGGGGGGGCCCCAAAGATAGATCGCCACGAAATCGGATTCCCTTTTCATCAGGACCCCCAATAAGGTACCCCCGAACCCCCCCCATATTATCCCTAAACCCTAAACCCTAAACCCTAAACCCTAAACCCTAAACCCTAAACCCTAAACCCCCAGGTGAAGCCCGGGTGTTTGGTCGTTTGGCCGAACGATCGGTGCATCCACCGGCTGGACGCGGGAGCCGGAAGCCGCACGATGCTCGGGCCCATGACCCTCGAGGGCCCCCGCTGGAAGAGGGCTGGGGACCAGTATGCCTATAATGCTCCCCCGTATTGGGCAGAAACCGGCAGGAGAGATGCGGAGGAAAGGGAGCGGAAGCAGAAAGAGGAAGAGGAAAAGAAGCAGAAAGAGGAGGAGGAGCGGAAGCAGAAAGAAGAGGAGGATCGGAAGCAGCGAGAAGAAGCTCAGGCACAGGCCCAGAGCCCAGGGCAGAAGGAGTCCGGCCACCGGCAGTGCGGCTCCTGCACAGTGATGTAATGTACGTTGATACGAGGTGGCTGAGTGTGCGCAACGCCGCATCGAAGCCGCATCACGGGGTGTAAGGTTGTAAAGAGTATACATGTGAAGAATCGAGGTGGCTGTCAAGAGCTGAGCGAAAAGCGGCGAACCCCGAACCCCGAAACCCTAAACCCTAAACCTTAAATCCTAAACCCTAAACCCTAAACCCTAAACCCTAAACCCTAAACCCTAAACCCTAAACCCTAAACCCTAAACCCTAAACCCTAAACCCTAAACCCTAAACCCTTGCTGGCGGAACTGCCTGTCCCCAAAAAGGTTCGCAATGTCCTGAAGCCGCAGCTTGAGTTCTGCACTCTCAAATAACCGTATGCTACTTTAGGGTTTAGGGCTTTAGGGTTTAGGGTTTAGGGTTTAGGGTTTAGGGTTTTCTATTGGGTCTTTTTTTTAGGAACCCTTAAGGGGATCTACTCTTTGAAGGGCTATTGGGTCTTTTTTTAGAAGCCCTTAAGGGGATCTACTCTTTGGATCCTCCCAAGGGGTTTGGGTCATGATCTGGGGTTTAGGGCTTAGGATTTTGGATGTATTGCAGGGCTTAGGGTTTAGGGCTGAGGGCTCAAGAACCTAAACCCTAATGAAACCCTAAACTTCTGCCTCCTAAACCCTAAATTCGGAACTTCTGGTTCGAGGGTCGAGGTCTTTTGGGGTTTAGTGGGGTCGGGATTTGGTTTTGGGGTCTGGAGGCTTTAGAGCCTAAGCTGATGTAAGCTGGTTCAGGGTTTAGGATTTCGGCTTCAGGGTTGCGCATGTAGGTGTGCGGGAATCCTACTATTTTGGCTATTCTCGTAACCCCCCCCCATCTTGGGGCACTCCGAATTGACTCCCTTGGGGCAATTCAACAAATCGACCTCAGCACACCCTGCTTGCACTCTTGGAAACCACCCCTATCCCATGACTCCTCAACAAGCCTTCAAAAGCTCCCGAACAGCCCCACAAACCCTACGCCCGAAACCCTTCAAACCCTGTAACCATAAACCATGCCTCGTGAGAACTTTGTCTAGGGTTATTGGCTCTAGGGTTACTTGAAGGTTCATGGCTAGTTCTAAGGCTGTGACTCCGTTAAGATAGTTTACTTGCAAACCCTAAACCCTAAACCCTAAACCCTAAACCCTAAACCCTAAACCCTAAACCCTAAACCCTAAACCCTAAACCTCGAACCCTTGTCCCTAAACCCTAAACCCCAAAACCCTAAGCCCTCAGCCTGAAACCCTAAGCCTTTGAAAAAAAAGAAGGGTTTAGGGGTTTAGGGTTTGAGGCTTCATAGGGGTTGCAACAGAGTAGGCTCCTGAAACCCTTCGCCAGGTGAAAGGCTCCTTGGGTGCCCTGGCCGCGCTGCGCGGCGATGGCTCTGTGGTGTGCTGGGGGAACAAGGAGGGAGCCATGTTATCTGTTGTGCAAATGTGATTATTATGTGTTTTTTGTCGTTATCATCATCATACTATGTATATGAAAAACCATATGATAGGGCAAACATTTAAGAAGACCCACATACATATTCTGCGCATACTTGTTTGGCGATTGGCTTCGGCCCTTGCAAGAAGGCTTGAAAGCTGGAAACCTTCAAACCATTTAAAGTTTAAATGGGCCTCCCCATCTGTTTATGGTTTAAAGGCTTTTAAGTGCTTCAAGTGTGCCGTTAAAACCTTCAAAAGCTTTAAAGTGCAAATGTGGCCCCTTGTTTCTTCTATGAAGGCTTGAAAAGTTACGCAATTGAGCCTTCAAAGCCCTCAAACGTTTAAATCAACGGTTTGAAAGGATGTTAATGGACCTTTAAAACCTTCAAGTCTTTATTTAATGTTTAATTACATACTGCCTCTATGTCGAACAGCGGCCCCACGTCTAAGTTTAAACAAACCTTGGAATATATACCTTGAATATTTTACTGGGCCCCTGTGTTTCTTTGGTAAAGGCTTTGGAGAAATCATGGTTTTAGAGGTCTTTTCGGCCTGTAACCTTAGAAACCCTTCAAAATGTACATGGGGCTCCTATTCTGCTTTGAAGGTTGTAAAGGTTTTCGCGGGCCCTTAGAATCCATGCAGTTTACATGGGCCTCTATTTTGGACACCAATGAACCCACTTTGACTATACTCAAATCTTTAGCGCCTTAAACAACAACTCAATGGGCCCCTCTACTCCTGTTTTAGGGCCTTAAAGGTTTCAAGTGGGCCTTGAAAGCCTTTAAAACAAAAGCAAGGAAGACAAACCGACAAATAGACAAGGCAAGCCCAAGGTGGAGAAGGGGTTTAGGGTTTAGGGTTTAGGGTTTAGGGTTTAGGGTTGAAAGAAAGTGCGGCACCCGTGCCAGTCCTCCGAAGGCCGCCGGGCACTCACTGACAACCGCAGAACGAGATTTAACTTCTAGTTGCTTAAGAACCACCCTAAGAAAATTGAAAACATATACTTCCTAAAAAGGATAATATAGGGATTAGTACTTTTTGATTTTTTGAGGTTCTTAAGCAAATAGTAGTTAATGACACCCTGCTCACAACAAATATTTTCTAATGCATTGTGATAGGGTTACCACCAACCAGAAGTCTACATATGTTGCCTATAAATACACGACTAACCATATATACATATATATATATATATGTCTGTCTGTCTATCTGACTATCTATCTATCTATCTATCTATGCACATGCATGTATATGTATATGTACGCATGTTTAGTTGATACTGAGTTATATAGACATCATTTTTAATGTGGGTCCCTTGTCGTGACAGCGTAACCCAAACACCTGAGATCGTGGAGGAGCCCTGGTAGGCGGAGCTCCAGATTTTAGCTACAAGTCAGGATTCCCAACATGCCACGAAGAAAACAGATGGCCTTGGACCCAACATAGAAGCTTGTAACAAGCATTCCAAAAAAGCTGAAGGCTTTTGGGGGCTAAACCCTAAACCCTAAACCCCAAACCCTAAACCCTAAACCCTAAACCCTAAACCCTAAACCCTGAGGTAGACCCCCCGCCTACCTCCAACCACAGCTCTCGTTTGTTACGAAGCTGCTTGGAGGACTGTGGTGGCGACTCTTCCCCGGTACAGGAGCAGCTGAAGGCTGTGAAGGAGAGGTTTAGGGTTTAGGGTCGGGCCTGCGAAACGGTCTTACCATGGACTCCAAACGTTTTCAAGTTGGGTTTTACTTTTCATATGAAGTTTTGAACGGGTTCGCGTGCCCAAAATGGTCCACCTCCCCCGCCCCCCCCCCACCCGGCCCACCCCATACCACTTCAAGGAGTTGCGAGTATCAGGCCATGAGACAGTTTCAATCAATCCATCGATACGCCTAAAATCGCCAAAAATGAAGCTAAAGCCAGAAATGAAAAGTGATCTCCTAAACCCTAAACCCTACACCCTGAGTACTTTTTCTTTTCAGTAGCCCTGAAATCCAGCCTGAGCTCTAAGCCCTTGGCCTAGACTCTAGACCTACACTATCCCCAAACCCCAAACCCTAAACCCTAAACCCCTAAACCCTAAACCCTAAACCCTAAGCCCTCAACCCCAAACCCTACGAACCGAACAGCCCCCACATGCGCCGGCGCCACCTCTAGCTTAGGGCTCAGGATTTGGGACCTTCGCCCTGAACCCCAAACCCTACAACCCGAGCCCTAAACCCCAAACCCTAAACCCTAACCCTAAACCTAAACCCCAAACCCTAAACCCTAAACCCTAAACCCTAAACCCTCCACGCCTCAGAAGCTTCATGCCAGGAGATCGAAGCCTCTGGCGGTGCCTTCGCGGCCATCCGTGCCGACCGCTCGGTGGTTACCTGGGGCAAGGCGCAGAAGGGATTTCCGGATAGGTTTAGGGTTTAGGGTTTAGGGTTTAGGGTTGAGGGTTGGAGTTTAGGGATTAGGTTTCCAGGATTAAGGGATCAGGGTTTCGGAGTTTCAGGGTTACAGGGGTTTGCACCTCTAGCTTCGATGTTGTTCATGGCTTTGGGGCTGAGAGTTTGGGGTACGAACAGCGCGCGCCGTGTCGTTGTAAATGATACCACAAGAACTGGCTCCCGCAGAACGCCAAACCCTTAAATCCATTCTTCAAACCCCTCGTCCGAATTCCTAAGCCCTAAGCCCAAAGCCCCAAGCCCTAAACCTTCAACCCTACGCTGAACCTCTAGAATGGCTTCGGGGCTCAGTTTCTTGGCATCCGAAGGCTTTGGGGTTCAGTTTGTTGGCATCAGATCCTGATTTCATTCCCCCTGACCTTAAACCTTAAACCCTAAACCAAAAACAGAAGCTTCGTTGCACCTGGCCGGCTTCAGGTCTTTAGGCTTTTGTGGGGTTGAGGGTTTTGGGGATTTAGGGTTTCCCACTAGGGTTTAGCGTTTGCGTTAAGAGAACCCGAAAGCTACACAATTGTCGGATCTGAGTATAAAACCCTTATCGGACTCTTAGGTAACCTACCAACAAGTAGGCATTTGGTTCGTCTTCTGAGGACAGCAAACCCTCAACCCTGGACCCCCCCCGGCCGGGTAGGTCGGCCTGCTTTTCCAAGGTCTCGTCCGATAGTCCGATAGACCCGACGGCATCGCTGAACGATTCATTACCCTGGACCCTGCACCCTAAGCCCTAAACCCTAAATCCTAAGCCTAAACCCTAAACCTTCTACATTACTTGGCGTGGCAGCTCGCGCGTGTGTGCAGGCGGAGTCTGGCGGCGATAGCAGCCACGTGCAAGAGCTGCTCCAGGAGGCCAGAGCGGTCAGCTGTTCTGAGGGTTTAGGGTTTAGGGTTTAGGGTTAGGGTTTAGGGCTGAATCACGGTCATGGGGTTTCGCGCTTTTCATGAAGGCACCGGGCCTGCAGGGAGGTCCTCCAATCTCTCGAGCGTTAAGGGGTATATTCTTACTGGGCTACTAAGTAGGGCAGTATTGCATTCAATGGCATTATAGTGCAATGTAGGGGCCCTAGAAAGAGCATGATTGGGAATCAAGAGGATTAAACAAGGCAATTTCGGGCCTCGACAAACAACCGGCTTTGAGATACTTTCAAGGGTATATAGCTGAAGATAAGAATCCGGAAAGATTTGAGGCTTGTTCTTCTATTGGCCTTTGTTCTTTTGGGTAAACCCTAAACCCTAAACCCTAAACCCTTATCCCTTATAAACCCTAAACCCGGGGTTTTTGGGTACCCGAAGCCCTAAAAGCCCTAAACCCTGCGCACGCACTCAGGTGCAGCAGGTCCGCGGCTCTGCGGGCGCTTTTGCCGCTCTCCGTGGGGACGGCCACTTGGAGTGGCGTCAACGTTCTCTCCTATTTTCCCTTAGGGTTTAGGGTTTAGGGTTTAGGGTTTAGGGTTCAGGGTTTAGGGTTTAGGGTTCAGGGTTCAGGGTTTAGGTGTTTGAGACCTTTGACCTGAAAACGTTTTGTTCGAAGCTTCGAGCCGCTTCGGTTTTCGAACTTTTGCATTGTAGCGGGCCCATGTGGCCCAGCCTTCTATCTTGGCTGCCAAAACGTTGTGTTTTAGACTCCCTGATTGGCCACCTTCTGTGCGGCATTCTTGTTTCAAAGGGGTTTAGTCTTCAGGGCGTTGGGCTTCTGGGGTAGTTCAGGGTAGGGCTTGAGGGCTCCCCTGAAAGCCTCTCTCACTCCTGTGCTCCCTCGACACTCCGCGAACTTCAGGCCTGAAAGCCTACAGTCTCTTGTCGTAACCCGAAGCCCAACCCTAAACCCTAAACCCTGGCGCCACCTCGGGCTTAGGGCTCAGCATTTGGGACCTTCGCCCTGAACCCTAAACCCTACCCTAAACCCTTAAGCCTTAACCCTTAAGCCTCAACCCTAAACCCTAAACCCTAAAGCCTAAACCCTAAACCCTAAACCCTAAACCCTAAACCCTAAATCCTAAACCCTAAACCCTAAACCCCAAACCCTTCCCAGGCTCTGTGGTGACCTGGGGTGCTGCTTACTGCGGCGGAAACAGCCGCGAGGTGCACCTGCGACTCTAGGTTAAGCGTTCAGGGTTTAGGGTTTGGGGTTAGGGTTTAGGGTTAGGGTTTAGGGTTTAGGGTTTAGGGTTTAGGGTTTAGGGTTTAGGGTTTAGGGTGTAGGGTTTAGGGTTTAGGGTTTAGGTTTAGGGTTTAGGGTTTAGGGTTTAGGGTTTAGGGTTTAGGGTTTAGGGTGTATAACATAGGGGTCCCAATAATGACTAGTAGCATTCCCTTATGGTCCCTAGTATAGGGGTCGGAATAGTTACTAATAGTCTTCCTTTATGGCCCCTATATAACTATGCTATAAGAAACCCCCCCCCCCCAAAAAAAAAAAAGAAAAAACCTTTCGAATGATTAAGGCAATAATGGTCGGTTACCGTATCTTGTTGCCCTAAACCCTGAAACCTTCAGGTTAAGCTGTTGGCATGGGCAGTTCGCAATGACGGACCATGCCTGCAGTTGACTTCAATAGGTTGTATATCTACCAAGGACTCTCTTTATCTGCAGTTTTATGGGTTCTACCTACTGATTAAGGGGTAGCTACTACTAATGTAGGCAAATAGAGTCCCAGGTAAGCCCCACAATATATAGCATCAACAAGTGTACTGCTGAATGGCAAATAGCGACAAGAAGTGTAGTGATAATTGACTATATGAATTGAGGAAGAGTAAAGAAAGTAAGGGATGGTCAGGATTTGTTCGTCACCCTTTCCAGAAAGCCATTGGGACCTTTGAGACTCTTTTATGACTAGTACGTTAGTGTGCTGGGTAATTCTGGTTGCCCTAAACCCTAAACCCTAAACCCTTATGGCTTCTCATGCCTTGGGCCTGGTCCCTGGAGCACAGGGCGGGGATGATCAAAGTAAATAACTTGTTGGCTTATGTCTGGCATGTTTGTTTATCGAGACACTCGGACGCGGAGTAGGCCCTTATTTCCTTTTCTAGGGTTGGGGTTGCCTTCTACTCCCTTTAAAGCCAAAAAGAGCACCCTTTTATTCCTAGGTTACTCCTGGGTCTAGGACACATTCTAGTACTATAGGCGTCGGAATAATTACTAAAAATATTCCCTTATGGTCCCTTGTATAAGTATACCATAATAACCCCCAAAACCCCGTTCTAATTATTAAGGCCCCTATAGTACGTGTTACATCAGGGTTTAGGGTTTAGGGTTTAGGGTTTAGGGTTTAGGGTTTAGGGTTTAGGCTAGTTGCCCAGGAAACATAGCAACACCGTGGGACCTCAGAGATTCGACGTAAGGAGGGGCTTTCTCGCCATCAGGAGTTGGTGATAGCAACAAGAACATCATGCAGTTTAGGGTTTAGGGTTTAGGGGTTTAGGGTTTAGGGTTTACATATCATGATGATGAGGCCAGTTAGTGGTTGCTACGCCTTCCGTATACCGCTTCTTGGTAGGGAATTTTGGTGAACTCCGTGAATCCCTACTACTACGGCCCCCCTCAGGATTTTTTCTTTTTGTAAACCCTAAGGGAATATTCAAGCATTATCTTTATTGAGGCTCTAAAGGGAGCACATGCGACTCCACCTTAAACCCTAAACCCTAAATCCTAAACCCTAAACCCTAGACCTTAAACCCTTTAAACCCTAAACCCTAAACCCTAAGAACCAGCAAGCTTCCCAGCTCCGTGGTCTTCGAGGTCCAGGAGCAACTCCGGGCTGTCAAAAGCATCTTCTCATCCACCTACGCCTTTGCCGCCGTCTTGCAGGACACAGGATTCAGGGCTGTACGTTTGCTCCCTTACCCTTGTCTTCTTATATATAATTAGGGATCCGATTTATGGGGCCCTGTATATTTAAAGCGCATATAAGGGTTATGTAATCGGGCCCCCAAATTCAGGGCCAAGACTTCGGACCCTAGATTGCAGCCTTGGCTTAGGGCTCCGAGGCTTTTCGGGATCCCTTCAGTGCTTAAGCATGTAATCTACTAATTGCTTTAGACCCCCCCCAAAAAAAAACGTAAAGATATTCTTCCTTATAAGGGTAGTGTTTTTTTTTTTTTTTTCTTGGGGGGGGGGGGGGGGGGTTCTAAGCAAATAGTAGTAAGCCCGTAATTAAGCCCTCAACTTGTAATCTCTTAAGCAGTTAACTAGGTTTTGAGAGACATGTTGTTTTCTTTATTTGAATTTAGAAGGGACCCTATATCTAAATGTTTTTGGTAGGTTTAGAGGCCAACTCAGTTGAACCTTACAGCCTTCCTCCCGAAAGGATCCGAAGCCTGGAACCCCTTTCACGTACAAAAAATCCCTAAATGCCAGTCCGCCAAAACCCTGATTTTTTGCGAGAGGGCATGACTTTCGGACCTTCAAGAAGTCCGGAAGCAATGTCGACACGTCCTCATTCTAAACATACCCTTCTACTTCCAGGGACTCAACCAATTTTTAGTTTACAAAGATCCCTTAAGCAGACAGAAATTCGATACCTGGAAGATTAGGGTTATCTCAACCCTAAACCCTGAACCCTAAACCCTAAACTTTTCAGCACTAAACCCTAAACCCTAAACCCTAAACCCTTAGCCCTTAGCCCTTAGCCCTTAACCCTTAACCCTTAACCCTTAACCCTAAACCCTAAACCCTAAACCCTAAACCCTAAACCCTAGACCGACTCAGGACGGCTCGGTGGTGACGTGGGGCGACCGCGACCGGGGAGCCGACTGCACCTCAGTGAAGCCTCGGCTTCGTGATGCGCCCGGGCACGAGGGTTTAGGGTTTAGGGTTTAGGGTTTAGGGTTTAGGGTCTAGGGTCTAGGGTTTAGGGTTTAGGGTTTAGGGTTTAATCAGGGTTTAGGGCACGAGGGTTTAGGGTTTAGGGCTTGCAGGTTTGCAGGGTTTGCAGGGTTTGGGTTTGCAGGGTTTGGCCTTGTATTATAGCGGACCACTGTGAGATGGTATGGACACTTCGAAAATCTCATCGCACAACTTAAACCCTCAACCCTAACTAGTGTTACAGCCTCACTTTTAAAGTTTTGCACAGGTTTCCGGTTCAGGATTTAGAGCTCAGAGTTGTCTACTAGCTTGAGGTTGCGATGTTCGCCCTTATACTAGACGTCCTTACCGGGCATTATAGTACCCCGATTATCATGCCTACTAACGACTGTTCGTATAGAGGGGAACATCCCAACGTGTAGGGTTGAATGAGCAGAGTCTGTGGGCGTATGTTCACGTCTCAAAGGGGGTCGAGGGTTGAGGGTTTCAGGGTCTACGGTTTCTATAGGGTTTGGGGTGCAGAGTTCTCTAGACACTTAAATATAGATGTTACTATAATAATCCCCCCCCCCTCTCCCCACCCTCCCCACCCTCCCCACCCCCCCAAAGCCTACAACCCAAAACCCTGAACCCTAAACCCTAAACCCTTGTCAAAACCCCAAGCCCTACATCCTAAACCCTGAACCCTAAACCCTAAACCCTAAAAGGTGCAGCTGGTCCGCGCGACGCTGGGAGCCTTTGCCGCGCTCCGCGCCGACGGGCGCGCGCAGCCAGAAACCCTTAAAAGGGTTTAGGGTTTAGGGTTTGGGGTTTGGGGTTTAGGGTTTGGGGTTTAGGGTTTGGGGTGTGGGGTTTGGGGTTTAGGGTTCAGGGTTTGGGGTTTCGAATTTTAGGGTTTGGGGTTTAGGGTTTAGGGTTTTGGGGTTTAGGGTTTAGGGTTTTGGGGTTTTAGGGTTCGTGACTTGGACACAAAGATCGGCAAACCCAAGCCTGGAAGCAGCCCTAAACCCTTAACCCCTACACCCTAAACCCCTAAACCCCTAAACCCTAAACCCTAAACGCTAAACCCTAAACCCTAAACCCTAAACCCTACACCCTACACCCTAAACCCTAAACCCTAAACCGCTCTGATTCGATCCGAAGCTGGTATTGTTGGAAGAATAGTGCAATACAGTGAGCTACTCCCCACAAAGAAGGAACTCGATGAATGGTCCAGGTAAACGTGCAAATCCCTAAGCCCTAAAAACCCGAACACCCCAAACCCCAAACCCCAAACCCTAAACCCGACCCTTAGCCCTTGAGGCCACCACTAAGGCTTCCTTCGGCACCTTAGCACCGTAAACCTTGAACCCTAAATTCCCCTAAACCCTAACCACCCTTAACCCCTGAGGCCACCAAATACTGCAAGAGTCGGAACAATTACTAATAGTATTCGTTTATGGTTCCTTATAACTATACTATAATCACCCCCAGAACCCTATTCTAGTTATTAAGGCCCCTAACCCTAAACCCTAAACCCCCAAGCCTAAACCCTAAACCCTAACCACCCTAGCTACCCTTAACCGCCAAGGCCTCTGCATTCGGCTTCCTTCGGCTTTACCCTAAACCCTAAACCCTAAACCCTAAACCCTACACCCTAAACCCTAAACCCTAAACCCTAAACCCTAAACCCTAAACCCTAAACCCTAAACCCTAAACCCTGCACCCTAATCCTAAACCCAAAAAACGGCTTTCTGGAGGACCGTGGTGACCTGGGGCCGCATGGAAAGCGGCGGCGACAGCAGCGCCGTGCAGGGCCAGCTGACCGAGGAGCGGCCGATAGGGCGTTAGGCTTTCAGGCGTGTGCGTTCTAGACCCTAAACCCCAAACCCCAAACCCCAAATCCTAACCCTAAACCCCAAACCCTAAACCCTCAACCCTAGACCCCAAACCCTAACCCGAAACCCTAAACCCTAAACCCTAATCACAATTTGGGTTTAGGGTCTCTAGGGCCATCCGAACTTCCTGCTTCCACCACTTTGAGCCCTCGAGAAAGCCTCTAAATCAGGCACCTTGGGTTTGGAGGCTTCACTGGTTTAGGGTTTTAGGGTTTAGGGTTAGTTTAGGGTGTAGGGTTTCGGGGAAAACGCTCCATATTCGCACAGTGTACTAATTTGGGGGTGGGGGGGAGGTTGGGGAAACGGGGGATTCTAGGGTTTTTGATTGCGGGGTGTCGAAGGGTAGTTACGTGGGCCCTCAATATGGTCCCGAACCGTACATAAGGGGTATATAAGGCAGGGCCCACACTCACGGACCATGCAACTTCCCTTAGAGGGCGGGCGTAAACCTCCCTACACCCCCCGAGCCGCGCATCACTGACCTCAAGAGCCCCCCCCACAGGCAGAACCATGAAAAGCCTTAAGCCCTGCAGAGCACCAAGTCCCAAGTTCATAGTGGCGGGTTTAAGGTTTAGGGTTTAGTTTCTTAGGGTTTCGGGTCTAGGGTTCTTAGTAGCTGAGTAGTGGTAACCTTCAACCTTGGGGGGTTTGAAGGTTAACGTGTTTTTGTCCCGGGGTACACGCGATCCTGAGAATTTAAGGGTAGTTACATGGTTCTTTGAGGGTAGTTAAGCGGTCCCTTGAATTTGAAGGTTCTTAACTACGCGCCCTTCGGTTGTTTTAAGGGGTTCCCTTTTGGGGCCCATACTAAGGAACCATCGAACTACTGCAAGACAAAACGCAGGTCATTCAGCTGAGGGGCTCCAGTGGGGCCTTCGCTGCTCTGCGAGCGGACGGAGCCGTGGATGATCTAGTTCCCCCTTTTTTGGGCAGGTTCCCTTTTATGAGCCCCTTTGAACATCCTGGGTTAGTGATTGCTAGGTGCAGGGCGGTTGCTTTGAACGCAATGCCCACCACTGTCGCATCACAGGCATGTATTTGGTTTGCAGGTTATGAAGAACCACGCCCTGTTTTGGCAAGCCTATTGCTTGTAGGAGGTGAAACCTAAATGTCAGACGCATCATCAAAGAGACAAACGAACCAACGAAACCAAACAAACCAAAAGAATCACTAACACACCCCATGGCATGTAGGAACGATGAGGCTTACGTAGGGTCTCTAGTAGCTGGGGTTGGTTTAAAGGTGTCATAAGGGCTTAAGGGTAGCTAAGGGTTGAGGAATATAGAGATACATATCAAATGTGAGTGGATGTATAGTACAGTATATAAATATATATGGTAATGTGCGTATGCATGTAATACTGTTTGTATTAAGCTATGTAATGCATGTAATGTATGTAATGTATGTAATGCATGTAATGTATGTAATGTATGTATTGTATGTAATGTATGTAATGTATGTATTGTAAGCATTTTATGTATTGTATGTATTGTGTGTATTGTATGTGTGGTGTGTGTGTGTGTGTGTGTGTGTGTGTGTGTGTTGCGTGTGTGGTCTGTAATGTATGTACTGTATGTAATGGATGTATTGTGTGTGTATTGTATGCATTGTATGTGTTGTTTGTGTTGTATGTAATGAATGTTTTGTAGGTATTGTGTGTGTTGTATGTGTTGCATGTACTGCATGTATTGTATGTACTATATTGTATGTATGTATTGTATGTACTTCTGCCTGCCTGCAGGTATGTTTTATTTGTTTGTCTGATTTGATATTTAGATGTAAGTTTGCACTTTCAGGTTTCAGAAGGGAGTGAGACAGCTTGTATGGATTTAGGGCTCGTCCACGGTAGAAGAGTCGCGAGGCCCTTTTAAGAGGCCCCAGATCTAATGATAATTTTCACACGCAGCACAAAGAATCTCATCACATGAGAAACGCAGACCCCACATCAGGCCGCACTCTTTGGTTCAAGCATGTGCCCGGGGTCCACCAGAGGCATTGCCTAAACCCTAAGCCCCAGAAACCTCTTGGGCAGAATCCTTGAGTCGACAATTCCCCAGTGTGCCTCTAACTCTCATGCAACCCCTCAAACCCTGAACCTTAGTTTAAGAACCCAAAGCCTACTTACAGTTTTTTTGTGTTTACTGAAGAACCCTCTAAGGGGTATACTACTATAATAACCGACAAAAATGTAGCTTTTGGGTTACTAAGGTAAACCCTACACCAAGCCCAAACCCTGAACAGTAAACTTTTGACAGCGGAACGGCGGGGTGGTGGAAGCGTGGAGTCAGGTCCAGAGATTAGGGTTTAGCGTTTAGGGCTTAGGGTTCAGTGGGCTCGTCTGTGTTGACCCGGCTTTCTGCCCTCGAAGTGAACCCTAAACCCTAAACCCTCGAATGGGGCTTCTGTCGCGTCTCAGGCTCCGTGGTGACATGGGGACTAGACTTCTTTGGGGGCGACAGCAGCGGTGCCTCTGGCTTAAACCCTGAAGGCCTAAACCCTAAATCCTTTACTTTCAAGGACCCAACTATTATATCCCTAAACCTTGAACCCTGGTCTGCAGGCAGTGTGCGAGCGGTGGGGGGGGGGGGGGGCGGGTGTCCCCGCATCCTGAACCCTCGACCCCAAGCCCCTAGACGCCCCAACCCCTAAACCCCAGTCTGCTGAGCCGGCATGTAGCTTTGCGGTTTGAAGTGCTAAAACCCCACGTGCCGCAGCCGGCTTCGGCAGCTTGTAGCAACCCCACGAGTAGCATCCTTGCCGATGGCGGAGACTGTTAAGGCGGAGCTTCCTAAGTTTAGGATCTCTGTGTGCCCTACTCCCTAAACCCTAAGTCCTAAACCGTAGGGTTTCGGTGTTAAGGCTTGGTAATCTAGGACTCCCGCGTGTAGGGCACGGTGTTCTGGGTTGCGTTTGCTTGCTCTGCTCCCCAGACCCTTAGCTGGTCCAACTAGGGCTATCCTGCAAGGACTCCGCCTTTGTTCAAAGGGATAAAGACTCGTACCCCTGAGGTTGCACCCCTAAAGGTTGTACCCTTATTTAGGGTTTAGGATGCTTGTGTAGCCCTAAACGATTCTCTTAATCTACTCCGAATATATGGCCCTTATAGTCCCTTAACAACCTCAGGGTCCAAGGTGGAGTCCGTTGATTTGTGCAAGCTGTGTTTGGGCTTTGGGGTTTGTGTGTGTGTGTGTGTGTGTGTGTGTGTGTGTGTGTGTGTGTGTGTGTGTTTTTGTTGTGGCTTTTCGGGGTTTAGACTGTTAAGATTTTACGGTTTTGGGGTTTTGGGGTTTAGGGTATTTGCGGTTTTTCGGTTTTTGGGGGGTTTAGGGCTTTAGGGGTTCAGGGTTTTACGGTTCAGTCGGGTGCGTGTCCTGAGGCGTCCAGGGGCAGCTGAAGAACGTCCGACAGATCCAGGCCTGCCCCTAGGGTTTTCGGGATTGGGGTTTAGGGTTTAGGGTTTAGGGTTTAGGGTTTAGGGTTTAGGGTTTAGGGTTTGTAGGGTTTGTAGGGTTTGTAGGGTTTACAGGGTGTAGGGTCTAGTGTCTGTCTGGGGGAACCCAGGGTTCAGGGTTTCAGGGTTTTAGGGTTTTGGGGTTTTGGGGTTTTGGGGTTTTTGGGTTTTTGGGTTTTTGGGTTTTTGGGGTTTTAGGGTTTTAGGGTTTTAGGGTTTTAGGGTTTTAGGGTTTAGGGGTTTTGGGGTTTTGGGGTCTTGGCGGAACCCCCAACCGGGTCTAGGGTTTAGTGTTTGGGCTCGTGTTATCAGTTTTGAGTTTTAGGGGTTTGTGGCTTTAGGCTTTGGGGGTTTTAGGGTTCGGGGATTTTCGGGTTTTTTCGGGGTTTAGGGTTCTGGGGCTTAGAGTTTCAGGGTTTTAGGGTTGAGGGTGATGGGGTTGAGGGTTGTTCTGGGAAGCCCCCTAAGCCGCATAGAGTCCTTAAACCCTTGATTCCTAGACACTTTCTCACAACTTCTAGAGCCTCAACCCTGAACCCTGAACCCTGAACCCTGAACCCTAAACCCTAAACCATAAACCCTAAACCCTAAATCCTGAACCCTAAACCCTAAACCCCCTAGAGTCCCAACACTAGACCCTCAACTCGTCTCGTCCAGGCGTGCGACACGGCCTTTGCGGCATTGCTGGCAAACGGCTCGCTGGTCAGCCCGGGCTTTCTGGGTTGAGGGTTCAGGGTTCAGGGTTTAGGGTTTAGGGTTTAGGGTTTAGGGTTCAGGGTTTAGGGGTTAGGGTTTAGGGTTTAGGGTTTAGGGTTTAGGGTTTAGGGTTCGGGGTTCGGGGTTCTGGGTTGAGGATTTAGGTTCGGATGTTCACCCTTGTACTACCAGTCCTTAAGTACGGATGTTGATACCCCCCCCCCCCCGTCCCCCCGTCCCCCCCCGCAGTTATAATCCCTATGAAGGGGCTGTGCTGTTAGTATGCGGGGACACATCCCAGGATTTTAGAGTTGAAGGGTTGAAGGGATGCGGGATTACCTAAGAGGCTTCTACGCCAATGAACCCCTTTTTTGGGGGGTTTCCTAAGGGTTTAGGGTCTAGGGTTTCTTGATATGGCAGCCGGCTTGCAAAAGGATACCCCGAGAAGGGGAAGGGCAATCGCCTCTTCAGGTGTAGGGAACCCTAAATTTTAAACACTAAACCCAAAACCCTAAACCCTAAACCCTTGAGAACCCCTGCCTAGGTCTCCATTTTCCTGCAGCTCTTGTGGTGTCCGCATAGAGATCTGCCTTAGGATCCACCTACCTCTGGCGAGGCTACATAGGACCCAGGATTCAGAAACTGCAAGGGTTTAGGGTTTAGGGTTTAGGGTTTAGGGCTTGGGGTTTAGGGTTTAGGGTTTAGGGTTTAGGGTTCTTGAGGTAAGGATGACTACTAGCAAACCGTTGGTACACAGAGTTGGAGTCCTTGGGCTAGCTGCAGGGTCCCTTAGGAGGGGCCCTAAGCTTTCAAACCCTAAACCCTAAACCCTAAACCCTAAACCCTAAACCCTAAACCCTAAACCCTAAACCCTAAACCCTAAACCGCCCCTTGGGTTTTCTGCGGCGCATGAGAGGGGTAATATCAGGTTTCGAAAAAAATAGGGTCCTGAATAAAGACCCTATACACCCTAAACCCTTAACCCCATACCCTATACACCCTAAATCCTAGACCCCAAACCCTAAACCCCATACCCAAACACCCTAAACCCTATACACCCTAAACCCCATACCCTATACACCCTAAACCCTATAGACCCCAAACCCTAAACCTAAACCCTCAGCGGGCTTCGAGCTCCTGCAGCTCCTAATTGAATATTCAACCCGGCTTAGGGTTTAGGGTTTAGGGTTTAGGGTTTAGGGTTTAGGGTTTAGGGTTTAGGGCTTGGGGATTTTTCGGTCCAGGGTCTGGGTGCTTGAAGCTCATCCCCCAGGCCTCAAGACGAAACACCCTGGCAGCCTCTATGTAGGTTCCATGCATATCTCTTGGGGTGTGCATCCTTGGCCCTGGACCCTAAGCCCTAAGCCCTAAGCCCTGAGCCCTAAACCCTAAACCCTAAACCCTAAACCCTAAACCCTAAACCCTAAACCCTAAACCCTAAACCCTAAACCCTAAGCCGCACGCGCTGGGCCCTGCAGGTGACGTGGGGCAATGCCGAGTGCGGGGGCGACAGCCGCTCCGTTCAGGAGCACGAAGCTATAACGGGATTCCCTGCCTTATGCGGGACTTGGAAAACGTATCTATGTGTATATATATATATATGTAATTGTTATACTGACTTATGTACACTATGTGTATTCTTGTAAGTAGCTGTCCTTCACTTTTTTCTTTGTCTAAGTGTTGCTGGGTGAACGCGGTAGCGCAGCAGTTGCTCTTGCTGCGCGCATCCGTTGTCCAGGAGCTGTCCGTCACTATTTGGAGATTTTCCAGTGTCGCACATGAGCGCTGTCTGAAAGTTCAGATATGGGGGTTTACGAAAATAAGGGACTCCTACCATAGCCCCCCTAAACAGTAGGATTCCCTCACATTCAGGACCCCACTGAGGTACCCCTAGTTCGGAAACCACATCTCTAGCCCTTATAGCATGGCCCTTGCTTTTGATTGGCAAGGCTGTGGACTCACAAAAGGAAACCCTGTTATCCATCTACGGAGAACCTCACTGCGCCATTTGCGTTCAAACTACCCGACACTTATGATGGACATGTACTGTACGCTGCACTTAAACAGTTTCACTACGCTAAATTTGTAAACTACATATATATAGATATCTGGTTAAATTCTCTTCGAAATCCAATTCCAATTCAAACTGCTGTGGTTCTTTTTCTAATTCAGCTCAATTCAATACAATACAATTCAACTCAGTTCAATTCAATTGATTTCAACTCATTTCAAGTCAGTTCAATTCAGTTCAATCCAGTCCAATTCAGCTCAGGTCAGTTCAGTTCAGTTTGATTTGCTAATTCGTGTTGTCTATATATATATATATTGTGTTATGGACAGTATATGCATCGGTTGAATAAGGATGGCTTGACATTTGGGCTAACTATCAGACCTGAACAGCCTGTGCAGGAGCATCTCCTCTGGCTGAAGCGGCGGAGGATTGACGGCCCTGCCCGCCAGCACTGCGCCGAAGCGGCTGCGACTTGAGGACAGCAGCTTTGGAGGTTAGGCCGTTGCGGGTCAGGATTCAAGTGATTCACTACTGTTTGCTGAAGAACCACAAAACGTAACGACAATCATCCCTATAGTCGCATCATGATGGTATCAGTGAGGCTCTGCGCATGCGGGCTGCGAGGAACTTGTGGGCCAGGGCAGCGAAGACATGAAATCCCGCACCCAAGATCTTGATCCTCTGCTCTTCGAGATCTTTCCCCTTATACTAACAGTATCTAACAGTCCTTAGTAGGGATTATACTAGGGGGTATTCTAATCCCTACTACCCAGACCCCTCAAAGGATCCAAAACATGGAACCCCCAAATAGTACCTTCTACTACTATTGGGTCATTCTTAGGAACCCTTAAGGGGATCTATTTGTTGGATCCAGCCAGGGTCTGGGTAAGCATTGATATGAACAGGGGGAACATCCCCACCTATGCTCCCTAAACCCTAAACCCTAAACCTCTTGGATTGAGGACTCCTGAACATCAGCTCAGCATCGGAGAGCATTTCTGGCTGACAGTCATGTCGACGACGTGGTGGCCGAGGTGCAACGCACGCTTGGTTTAGGGTTTAGGGTTTAGGGTTTAGGGTTTAGTGGTTAAGGGGTTAAGGGGTTTAGGGTTTAGGGTTTAGGGAGTTTGGGTGCGTCTGGCTTCAAGACCTGCCATTCCTCCTTGCAAAGAGGCAGATTCGATTGTAATTACTCTTTGGAGGTTTGCGTTTCAATCGCCGCGAACATTTACAGCTTGTCCGACGACGATGACTTCGACTTATCCTAAACCCTAACCCTAAACCCTAAACTCTAAGCCCTAAACCCTAAACCGTAAACCGTAAACCCTAAACCCTAAACCCTAAACCCTAATCAACGTCGTGACACCCAAGGTGGCTCATAGCACGAAGCAGGAGGCGTCTAGATTCGATGTTTAGGGTTTAGGGTTTAGGGTTTAGGGAACATGCAAAGTCCACGGAACAATGGCCCAGAACCCCAAACTAAATTTCGTATCGGGTAGTGGTGCGTGGCAAGCCCTTATCCCTCCTAGGGTTTAGGGTTTAGGGTTTAGGGTTTAGGGTTTAGGGTTTAGGGTTTAGGGTTTAGGGTTTAGGGTTTAGGGTTTAGGGTTCCGGAGCCAGGGTTCCTAATTTACAAACAGCCTGAAACGCCATCGAACCCCAGGCGCCAAGCCCTACACTCGGAAACAGCCTCTTAGGGTCGAGGCTCCCTCAACCCTCAACCCTCAACCCCAAACTTAAACCCCAAACCCTAAACCCCAAACCCTAAACCCTAAACCCTAAACCCTAAACCCTAAACCCTGAACCCTAAACCCTAATCCCTAAACCCTAAACCCCAAACCTCCAACCCAACGCACTCCCTGCAGGTGGAGCACTCCCTGGAGGACAAAGTGCTCCGCGGAGGTGTTCTGCACACCGCGCCTTGCGCGGGCGCACGCGACGCGTGGGGGCTTTCCGGCGGCTCCTCTTCTCGCCGTGGGCCTTCCCCGTCGCGACTGAAAAGTGCGGATGCCCCAACAGCTTTGAAAACCGTGCGCGCGGAGTTCTGAGATCCGAAGCCCTCTAGTAGCCCCAAAACACCCGAAGCCCTACATCCTGAAACCTTTAATCCCAAAAGCCCCCAAAACCCTAGTTAAACCCCCAAACGCAAAGGGCTGAACCCTAAAGCCCTAGAAGCCGAAAACCATAAAACCCTAGAGCCCAAGGCCTTGAACGCCATTTCCAAGAGCAGTTGATTGGTCCCTTAAAATGGTCCCTTACGTTCTTTAAAGAGTTCTGAAGCATAATTAGGCCCTTGGGTTTTATGGGGCATATATACCGGGTATATACCAATTACGGGCCCATACTAAGTTCTTAAGGGACCATGTAACTACCCTTAGGCCCCATTGTTCCTCAAGCCTCGGGCTCGCTCAGGCAGCACCCGACGCGCAGGCGCGCCCGCCAGCAGAGTTGCAGCCTTGTCAGGGTCCAACCCTAAACCCTAAACCCTAAGGTTAAACCCTAAACCATGAACCCTAAACCCTAAACCCTAAACGCGAAACCCTAAACCCTACAGGGCTTCAATCCTGGAGCCCTCCACAGTCTGGAGCCCCAAGCCCTGAAAGCCTTCTGAAACCCTGAGGGAAGCCCTAAAAGCCCTAAAGCTCAGCAAACACCTTAGGGCTTAGGGTTTAGGATTTCGAGTTTAGGGTTCAGGCTTTGGGGTTTAGGGAGCTTGGGTTGATATGGAAGGAACGTTACAAAGCGCTACATGGGCCATACCATCCCCTTTTATAACCCTATCCACCTGCAGACGTTTAAGGCTTTATAGGCTCTCAAGCCCACCAAAACAAAACACACCATTGGAGAATCTTCTGGGATGGCCTAGGCTTGGGGCGGCTCAGGGCCTTAGGGTTTAGGGATTAGGGTGCTGGGTGCTTAGGACTAGGGCTCCATTGCAACAGCAACCAAACCCCCCCCAAAAAAAAATGGTGTAGGGTCCGGAAGCGCCCCAAAGCGCTAAACCCTAAACCCTAAACCCTAAACCCTAAACCCTAAACCGTAAACCCTAAACCCTAAACTGGCGTCTGAAGAGAGGCCGCGTCCCATTGCCTCTTCTCGCAGCGGGGCGTCGCTGAATGGGCCGCTTCACTGGTTCAGGATTTAGGGTTTAGGGTTTAGGGTTTAGGGTTTAGGGTTTAGGGTTTAGGGAAGGTTAATGTACCAAAAGCTGTTGCAATTTAAAAGGCATAGCTAGTTTAGGGGTCATGGGTTGGGATTGAAGAGTTTGTGGGTTTCAGGGCTTTGGCATGGATGTAGGATGCTGTTAGAGTTCAGGGTTTTGATGGTTTCTTGTCATGGCTTGGAGAATTGGTGTCTGTCGGCCAAGGCCTGAACCCTAAACCCTAAACCCTAAACCCTAAACCCTAATCTCTAAACCCTAAACCCTAACCCTAAACCCTAAACTCTCCTGTTCGTTAAGATCAATGCCCAGAGGTGGCTAAACCCACCGAAACCCAAACTCCGATACAGAAGCCAGCCCTTACATAAGCCCTACACTCTGCTGCTTGAAACTTCTTCCCGAAACCCCCACACCCCCACACCTTTAAACCCTCTAACATAGAAAGCTCGAGTTCAACCCACTAAGCTCTTAGAACTGGCAAACCCTGCAATCCCCACATCTCCGAAAAAACCCTTTCGAACCCTCAAAAAGGCAGACAGCCTATAAACCCCAACAAACCGATAAGGTGGCTTTAAGCCGCGAGCCCCTACAAAGCCAACTAAAGCAAAAACGACTAAGAAACCCCTAAAGAAAGCCCCTAAATGTGGCTTTCCTCCACTCCCCGCACAAAATCCCAAACCCTAAACCCCAAACTCTAGACCCTAAACCCTAAACCCTAAACCCTAAACCCTAAACCCTAAACCCCACACCCTAAACCCTAAACCCCCTACAAGAGCACCCTTTTAGGTGGCTTTCCTCCACTCCCCGGACGAGTACCTCTCCAGCGGCAGAGGCCTCCGAAACGTCGAGGCGGAGCTCCTGGGCGCGGGAGCCCGGGAGTTGGGGTTTAGGGTTTAGGGTTTAGGGTTTAGGGTTTAGGGTTTAGGGTTTAGGGTTTAGGGTTTAGGGTTTAGGGTTTAGGGTTTAGGGTTCAGGGTTTCGGGTTTAGGGTTTAGGGTTTGGGATTTGGGGCCGAAACCCATAAACAAGAGGATTCTACTATGGGGGGTTCAGGGCCCCTAAAACGGGGATTTTGGAAAGACCTCTTTTGCAGAATCCTTGTGTTTCTGTGGGTGTTTTGGGGTCCCGGGGCGTCTCCGATGCTTCGGGGGTTCGGGGTTGAGGCTTATAGGGGGTTAGGAGATTTAGGTGGCTTCAGGGTTTAGGCGGCCCTAAACCTTAAACCCTAACCCGGAACCTGTAGGGTTCAAGAGTTGGGGCTTTGAGGGTTGTGGGGTTTCCGGGCTTCAGGTTTTTTTATTTTTTAATTTTTTTCGGGTTTGGGGTCTACGTAGGGATCTCCGATCTTGAGGGTTTTCGGGGCTTAGGGGGTTTAAAACTTTAGGGTTTTCGGTTTGAGGTTAGGGTCTGGGGTTTTTAGGGTTAGGGTTTGGTGGCTTGGGGGTTTGGGGGGCTTGGGGGGCTTGGGGGTTGGGGTTTTAGGGGTTTAGGGCTTTAGGGTTCTAGGGTTTTAGGGCTCTGGGGATTCGGGTTTTAGGGGCTTAGGTTTATAGGGTTTGGGTTTTTTGTGCTTTGGGGTTTTGAGGTTGTTTTCGGGTTTACGGTCTTGGTGAATGGGTTCTCTCGGAAGATGAGCAGGATGGTTTCGGCACGCTTATGGTAGCTTGAAGGGGGGTAGAAGGGATTTGCCCCTGAGCACGCCTAACTTATCTACAGGAGCTGCTAAAGCACGCCTACACAAGCTGACGATACCATGAATCCTATGCTTTGTTTTAGACCCCTCAGGATACTTCCCTGACTGACTCCTGATACTTCAAAGTAGCCCGACACAAAGCGCCTGGGCCCCAAAGCCCTCTAGGGCTCCCCCCCAGCTGTCAGACAGCCCAAGACCCTTTTATAAGAAAGAAATGACCCCACTTCAGAATTATTAGGATCCATCGTATACTCTTCGGCATGCTTTATGGTCAGTTCTCTAAGTTAGGGTCCTTTTCATGAGTACCCTAGATAAGTTGGGCCACCTTATAACAAGTACCCCAAAAGGGGCCATATTGCAGAGAAGTGACTCTATAGGGGTGTTGGGCTCTCCTTGTATCCCAGTCACCGGATCCTAAGCTATATCCCCTTGGGAATTATTTTTTGATTTTGGTTTATATAAAACCCAAGAAAATATTAATTATTAAGCATAAAACCCAAGAAAATATTAATTATTAAGCAGACTTTTTTTTTAGTAAGGTTCTAATGGGAGTATAGTAAAACCATGCCCAGGTCCACTGCGACCGCTCCGGTCGCAAAACCTCGCGGCACTGGACGCCGCGG